CAATATCAACTATGTGTGTTTTGAACAAATAAATAACAGTATGTATATTTCAGCGACGACTCGCTGGCCCCGATAACCTGGGCAGCACTTAGGGATGCGACAGCACTCTAATGCGCTAGACCACACTTTGAACAACACGTGAAGCAGCACTCGCAGCTGGTAGTTTAAGGACACCAGCCTGAGACACTGCGGACATATAGTTCAACAGACCCAACAGACTAAAACTGTCTACTAAGAGTCATTCATTCCTAAATGCGGGAGGAGGATTTGTGCCAAAACTAGCAGACTTGGAAAAACAGTCACACGAGAGCTCTCAGTAGCCTATAACTTATTATGATAATAAAAATGCAATGAAACATAATCTACGTTTTCTTTGTCTCTGAAGGAGTCTTGAGGAGTGTTTAATATGCCCAAGCACTAGTCGTGAGTCAGGAGTTGGCTACTATCAACGTCAACTATTGCTCTGCAATGAGGCAGACTCACATGAAACACTTAAAGAAAGCATGTGGCTTAAAAAGAGTATTTCTGTAAAACTCCGCTACAGTACAGACACATGGAATACATTTACAAACAACTAAGCATGTTCGAAGAAACGTGTAACTTCAACTTCTTCACGAGGAAGGCACAGGCAGCACATGAACACAACACAAACACAGCACTACATCCATAGGTTGAACTTAACACTTCTAACCTTCTATCTTATTTTCCATTGGTAGAGTCCACCTCAAAGCCAAAGAACACTGCCTCTTTTGTCTTTTAGGAAACGCAGGTGTCATTCACAGGCATCCTGACCCAAAGAAGTCCAACCAAAGCTGCATTTCACTCAAACTGCAGTTTTGCCCCCACAGCCTGACGGTCAGGCTACTGCATGCTGTTACACGGAGGAAACAATAAAAATATAATCCTTGGTGTAGACTGAATATCAATCTCTAGAGGACTCGTCAACAATAGAACAAAGTGAGGGAAGAGAGCGACGTGAGGAGAGTGAGAGGAAGACCACTCACTACTCTTCTTCCTCTAATAGCCCCCTCCTTCTCTTCACTTCTTTCCCCTCACACACACTTTCCTTGTGTTTCTAGTAGTCGCTGCTATCCCAGCCTGCGGTAAAATGACAAATACCGCTGCTAGGAGACGTTGTGTGCACGTGCCGCCGGTAAACAGACGCCCTAATTCCCGTTTGCCTCCTTGAGCCCTGCTCCTTCTCCTAAACGCTTGCCATTATCGTATTAATATTGCTTATTTACCCTGTTTTGATAATACAAATAAGCATTGACTGTCAAATAGATCTACTCTCGACGCGTGTTGCTCTTATTTTGGTGCGTCTGCGCGGAGTGTCTCGCAGACCGCGGAAAAGTCGGTCCAATCTTTCAAAACACGAGTGGATTCGCTTTCTCCCAGCCTAGCTGCCGTCTGACAGTAAATCGTGTTGTGTTTGCGGTAGTTTACCATGTTTACCCAAACACGCCCACTCCTCCGCTCCTGCATTGTGTGTAAACGGTCTGCTGTTTGTCACGCCGGTGTACTTAGACTCGGAGTCAGAGCTATCTATACGCTCCCTTTAACACTAACAGTCGGTATGCCGCTATGCGGGGCTCTTTTTTGGCAGTTCGCAGCGAACCCCTCCAAGATCGGGTGCTGGGATCAGAGCTCAGGGACTTATTGGGGCGCACGATGAGTGCTCTGCAGCTCCGACAGCTTATTTCTGTCCTGCCCATGGCTCCGTACCTGCAGTGCTGCAGAGAAAAGCGCCCCTTCCCCCACTCTGCATTATGACAAATCAAGGCAGGCAGGCAGGCAGCTGTGCCATTAGCACATCATAGCACAGTGAGTCTTCCATGGGAGAACAAACTCTCAAAGCTGTACAGCACACCGCAGACTAAACATTGCACGTATGGCGCGTAATGTCAACAGCCTATAGTTAATCAGGTGACTGACCGAGAGGGTTAAAGAGCAAGAGACTGTACAATCACGTTAGGGAACAGGAATAGTGTTTTTAAAAGAGGGAAACTACATGGATTGCTTTCCGTTCGATGTGGAGCACTTCATTCTTCTCCTGTTGTGCTTCCAGACTGTGGACATTATTGATGTGATCCACTGTGTCCAAGTGATTACATCCTGCCCTACTTCTGAAATTAGTTATATGGTCTAGATATCACCGAGGGTAAATGCATTTCTCTGCGATTGCAAGGGGTAAACAATGACCAACAGATCGCATCATTTACTTTTCCGAGAAAAATAATCTGTTATTTAACCAAAAAGAGCGCTCTGCACCAGTCACTGATCACAGTGCGGTTGTGCTGAAGCTGCTGGTCACACATGCTTCTACCCTGAGCTCTGAAGGACCCTAGAGGAGCACTCATTTATTGTAGTAACAATCCATCATATGTGTGATTGGCACACAGGAACAGAGCAATAACACAAAAAGCAACAATAATTCCGATTTGCAATGGCTAATCTCTCTGTCACACACATAAACTCACATGGTGCCATATCCTATTCATTTTGAACACAGCTATATATTTGTACACAAAGGTATGAAACAAAGCACACATATTTTATTATAGAAGCATACAATCTCAGTGTTATGTATGTATTTTCATATTATTTTTTGCTGTTTTGAACAATCTGCAAATGCTTTTTTTCTCCATAAACGGTCTTTCTTTATAAATAAATCAGTGGCTAGATAGCCGGGTGCAACAGAGAAACAATCAGCTAAAATCCCGCCAAATCTTGGATGTAAAGACATCCAATACAGTCAATGATATTTGTGGATTTCCAAATGTCACGGTCATCCTCAAATAAGAAACCACAGATTGCCATGAAACAAAATAGCAGTGGTGGCAGGCAAGAGGTTAATATAAGTAAGGTAATAGGGTGGGCTGTGTTTTCCCTGAGACAGTCAGCTCCTCCTTAACTGGTTCTGTGAATGGGCCAGTGAGGCAGTAGGGTATGAATGGCGGAGGGATCCACTGGTGCTGCCGTGTATGGGAGCCGCCAGCTCTCCATTACTCACTCCCACTCCCTCAAGGGCCGTCTGCAATGCAGCTGTCCTGTGAGCCTGTGCTTCACCGTGCCCTACTTTATCCTGTCAATGCTCAAGCACTGCAGCAATGCTTCTCCGGCAGCACCACACACACACACACACACACACACACACACACACACACACACACACACACACACACACACACACACACACACACACACACACACACACACACACACACACACACACACACACACACACACACACACACACACACACACACACACACACACACACACACACACACACACACACACACACACACTACACACACACACACACACACACACACACACACACACACACACACACACACACACACACACACACACACACACACACACACACACACAATCAGACAATGACTTACATACTCATTACATTCTGGTGAACATGCCCAGAGTAGGTCTTCTGACTCACATACTCAATTTGAATTCAAACAGAATGGAAACTTGCCAACCCTGCAGCATATGTTATTACATCTAGAAGACCTCTACAGTGCTGATTTCTAAAGCTCAGTTACTGTAAGAAAACAGAAAACGTTTATTATTTTTTACAATTTGCAAATACTCATAGAAACCAATGCTTACATTTTTTCTTTTCCTTTGCACTGTTGTAAACACATCAGCTTTCCTATTGGCTGATTATACCAAAAGCAAGATGACACAATAACAGTTTATCTCACAAAAAAACGACCAAAAAATGACGCTTAAAATGTTGCGCATCTCGACAACAGACTGCAAAGTCAAAGCGAAACATTTTCAACACAACATCTAAAAAAGCAAAGGTTACTCTCAAATCGGTTTCTCTTGGGTTATACCAAGTTGGGCTAGGCACACAATAACACAATATTAATACAACTATTATTCAGATACTAATACACCTAAAAATATAGCAATGCCATGCAAAGTCCCATGTGTAATACTACTACTATTACTACTATTACTACTACTACTACTAATAATAATAATAATAATAATAAAGATAAAGCAAACTGAATCATTTATTGCAATCAACCGTTCCACTGCATTACATCAAACTTTCACATGTGTATAACGTATACAATTAAATCATTAGTTAGTCTTTAATTGCAGTTTTCTCCAATCCATTAACGAGGACAACAGCATTTTCAAAACAATAATTTGGTTTGATCATATCTTAACACCACCGTTTTCAATATTCATATGTAAAATACTTGACTATTTTCCAGCCCTACAAACAAAAAGTGCTTTCCAAACACTCTGATAACAGGTTCTTACTTACACTCACACACACAACCTCCACACATGCTGCGTAGAAGCAGCCAAAGCAGCCAAAGCCAAGGATTTATCCATGACCTTTATCATGTTTGGCTGAGGACCAAAGAATCAGCATGTTTTATGGCAGGACACAATATTTTACATTCAACTCATTATCTGCTTGTTACTGTTCTAGCTGTGTACTCCTGTCTTTCTGATATATGAGATGTTACAACATTAATCCCAACCATAATTCATCCCAAGCAGAATATCTGTGCAGCAGAGACATTTAACAAAGACAAGGAACATGCAATGTGTGAGTTCAATTACATATTATATGGGATGAAATACATTGGTTGCATTTACTATGTGCATGGATAAAGATGTAATGACACTTCTTTCAGTATACTAAGCATTCACCATTATCCTGCAGTCGTGTTTGTCTCCAGAGAGAGCTAATGCATGTGACTGTTTAGGCTGTGACAAAATGGATTTAGGCAAAGCCAGAGAGAGGATTTGTAAAGCATGATGGTCCAGCAGATCATTAATCATAATTAACCAAATCAATGAGGCTACAGGAGATTTGGAGAGCCAGATAGAAGAATCAGGAGTTACATAAAGAAGTAACGATTAGAGAAAACACCAAAGTAAACTAGACCAAGAGAAAGAGTCAGGGGAAGGAATCAAAGCGGAGGTCAAACTGAGCAGAGACCTACCATCCAGCGAGAGCCAGTCGTGCTGAGATGAAGGCAGTGAAGGAAGAGCGCGGGCCTTATACTCAAACACCACCGAGTTGGAGATGATCTGGTTACTGGTGGACACCTGTAGCGTCACCAGACCCGTGTCGTGAGCTGGAGAGGGAGAAGATAATGAACATTTAGTACATTCAACATTTACAGAATATCATTATCATATGGTCAGATCTGACAGGGTCAAATTTCGTATTTGGGGGGTTGAATCCCATACGTTAGACTACATTAGAATGACAGTAACATTATAACATCATCTCACATAATGCCACATCAAGCTTAACCTGCGACATCTTTTATATATTTAAAGTGGACCTATCATGCTATATTATAATAATATATTGTAGGACCATACCTATATAAGGCATATTTATATGTATATATATTATATATTTATATATTTGTTCAAAATACCAAATAGATCATGCATTTTAGTCATGCCTCATTTCGCTCAATGTGCACTTTTTTAGCCCTGTTTTGGCAAGGGCTGATTCTGTGAGAACAGCACCATCTACAGGCCTGGCATATGTACTACAGCGTCTCCAGCGCTTTCGAACGGCAATGGCCGTGGCTGTCTCCTCCTGATTGGTGGAGTTGGCCCAATAGCCGTAGCGCCACTGTCCTGACGTCAGGACAGTGTTCAAATCTGGATCAGTTTTGATCAGATCCGTTGCAGCCCCTTTTTTAGAGATTTGGGTATGGAGGAAAATAGAGAGGGTTGTGTTTTCTGACACTTGGTGAGTTCCCTGGAACACCGGGGACACATATTCATGTATAAAAGACGTACAAAAGTGCATTTTGCATGATAGGTCCCATTTAAGTAAAAACATATTTGACTGTTTCAAAGACATTCAGTAACTTTCCGAATAGTACGCAACAGCTTAACATTGTGCTAAACTTGCATTGTTTTTGTTGATTGACTTGGATGTTCAGTTTAATATCACAATATTGACATTCATTTGAAAAAAGCTATTGCTTCTTTTAGAAATATATGTGTTAAAAAACATAATGAAAATAAAATAATATTGCTGACCAGATAATAAATATCTTCAACCTACAGATTATTACTTCAAACTAGTAAAGGAAAGTTAATAATATACATGATAGATAAATAAACAAATATTGATTGGTGCGGAGAAATAAACACCATAACTCTGCAAACCCTACCCTAAGAAACAACAACATAAAGTAAACCAAAATGTATTTTAGAAGAGTGCAATTGGCCTATTGCAGAAAAGTAAAACATTTGAAATGGCACAAGTTAAGTCAACTCGTCTGTTCATGACTAATGTCATGGTTAAATGTCCTCATAAACGTCCCTTTTCTTCTCGGATGTTTCTTACCTGGGCAGTAGCAGCGCAGAACTCCTGGTTGGATGAGAGAGGCGGGGACTGAGATCTGGTCAAACAAGCAGGTGTAGTTGGAGCTGGCCTCCTGCCAAGGCCCAGTGATCAGCACCTTAACTCCACCCTGAAAAACAGGAAAAATGCTTTAAACAAACTCTTAACACAACTTCCAAGTCAGCTTCAAGTACCCCTGCTTACATTATGTGTTGTTACACTGCCATCTGGTGAGCAAAGTTAAGAATTACATCAGGATAAAGAAAACGATTCTGAAACTGATCTCTGCTGCCATCATGTGGACAACCAACGTCATTTCACTACACACATTTTCTAAAACACATAGAAGAATTCTGCTGCCCTCCAGAGGTTGGAAGAGGGTATTACTATTGACAACAGAATTGTAATACTGACAAGACTTTCCATTACATATAATAATGAAAGAAGGGAGTTTTTTAGCACAAGTTATCATATTGGGATTTATTATAGAATATATAACATAGTTATAATACATACTTTTTTTGTAAAATATTTCAGTAAAATTCTACCAACTTCACAGGCCAGCAAAGATTTCCTCTTAAATTAGAAAAGTTTAATCAGTGTACTTCAGATGAACTCTTAAATCCAGATTCCATATATGGAGTCTACAGAATAGCCGCAGACTGACAGGCACCAAAATCAACCAGCTTTATTACTTAAAGTGGACCTATCATGCTATATTTGAATAATATAGTGTAGGACCATACCTATATAAGGCATATTTATATGTATATATATTATATATTTATATATTTTTTCAAAATACCAAACAGATCATGCATTTTAGCCATGCCTCATTTTGCTCAATTTGACAATTTATAGCTCTGTTTGTGCAAGGGCAGATTCAGTGAGAACAGCACCACCTACAGGCCTGGCATATGTACTACAGCGTCTCCAGCGCTTTCGAACGGCAATGCCGTGGCTGTCTCCTCCTGATTGGTGGAGTTGGCCCAATAGCCGTAGCGCCACCGTCCTGACGTCAGGACAGTGTTCAAATCTGGATCAGTTTTTATCAGATCCGTTGCAGCCCCTTTTTTAGAGATTTGGGTATGGAGGAAAATAGAGAGGGTTGTGTTTTCTGACACTTGGTGAGTTCCCTGGAACACCGGGGACACATATTCATGTATAAAAGACGTACAAAAGTGCATTTTGCATGATAGGTCCCCTTTAAAATATATGAGAGAAAACATGTTTTCATGTCCATGACAGGTTTATGTTTATGTCTGAACAGATAAGGATGTATGCGTCATTTTGTGTCCAGCTTAGAGAAAAAAGAAAAAGGAGAATAACTTCTACTCTGGTTGTCGGTTTTCATCTTCATGTAAAATAATATCAAGGATTTCCCCTTTGGAGCACCTTGTTAGTGTTTCAACAGTGCATGCCATATAACTGCAATTTCCTGGGTTACATTCTAGTCTTAGGACCATAGACTGGAGTAGCCTCTGGGTCTAAAGGGTGAAGTCAATGTGAAACTCACTTTATCTGTAATAGCCAGCAAGGCGTGACTTCAATGGTTGCAGAAAGACGGAGAAAATGACCCTACCTCTCACTTAATTTATTACCGTAGTACATTTTTTACTCCTGAGTTTATGTTCTCAATCGATGGTTTCAAGTCTTCTTCAATATAACATAAGGTTCAGTAAATTGTCGTCCTATTTACAGTCAATAAATAAATAGCAATGTATTCTTTTGGGCGATTCAACGGAAAAACTCTTTTAGATGTCCTTTTTTTAGAGTTTGGTTATACTTTGCTCCAAATTCTCGGGTAATTTCTAGTTAAAAAAACAAGATGGTGGTGGCCAAAGTACAACACTTAAAGCTTCAAAACCGTATTCCACAAACCAATGGGTGGTGACACGGTTCCTATATGCAGTCTATGGTTGCATTTCACATCTCAAAAATAATTTCAACAACTAGAAATGCAACTAGAATAAATGTTATAGCATAGCTTTGATTTGAGTTAAAGTAAAGTTATTGTGACCTAACATCACAGCAATAAATGTCATAACCAAAAAATAGACAAATGTTTTTAAAATAATAAAGAGCCCTGTCCCTCACCTCAGGGTAGGACCACTCCGGGGAGTAGTCAGTGACCATGAAGAGCCGGCCTGTGGCCTGAAGCATCCCCAGAGCCCCCTGGGCTACAGCTGCAGAGACCACCTCTGCTACATTCATGTAGGACAATGAGCCCGGCTCTCCGGTGTTTCCCCCTCCTCCAGCCCCAGCACTCAGAGACTGGGGGCTGCAGCAGGGCTGGAGGCAGAGCTCCGAGGGGCTGTAGCCGGAGCTCCTGGCCCCTCCATCTTCCTGGCCTTGCTGAGGGGGCCCACCGGTGGTGTTTTGACTATCCGAACTGTGGGATTGGACCAGCTGGTGAGCATATAGGGCCCCACCAGCTGACATGGTGGTTCCACTTCCATCCACTGAGATGAAGTCATTGATGAGGTCAGAGAACTGGTTACCAAAAGAGATGTCAAAGTGATCCAGGCTGATCTCCATGCCTGTCCCTCCTGCTCCGCCATTACTGGCCGCTCCAACGAGGCCCTGGTGGGCTCCGACAGCGTTGTAGAGTCCCTGGACCATACTGGTGCCCTGGAGGAGGGGCTGCAGCTGCTGTTGCTGCTGGGAGCGGTTGCTGCCATCACTATTGTTGTTACCATTATGCATTACTACTCCTTCTCCAGCACCTCCATTCCCTCCTCCACCTCCATCCGAGGCCTGTTGCAGGTAGTGCTCTGCTCCCTCTCCGTTTCCTGTCCCGCAGGCCTGGATGTGGTCTCCTGGCTTGAGTAGATTCTCAGCTCCATTCTCAGTGGCTCCAGCCTGAGCTGAATTCACATTGCCTTGTTGCTCTAGACCCACCACCTCCTCATGCTCAGCACCCAGCCCAGGATAGCCCCCCTGGTACTGTAGCAGCTGGAGAGAGCCAGCCTGACCGCCCCCCTCTGCGGGGGAGCCTCCATTACAGTTGGGCCTGTGCTGGTGGGCCTGATGGTGGTGGTGGATGTGGCCGTTACTGCCAGGGGAGTCCGTCTTCACCACTTGCAGCCCCATATACGCTCCAGAGTCATGGGAATTGTGCTCCATCAAATGTGTTTTCTGACCCATGCTGGGCCTTCCCTGCTGGCCCTGTCCGGTCTGGGAAGAATCTTGCAGGAAGAAGCTGGGTGAACGACTCTGGTGTTGCATGTGAGGACTGGACATGGCCTGACCATAGTTTACGGCGGTAGCGTTGGAAGAATAGTCTTGCTTGGCATCAATAGCACTGAAATCCATCTGCTCAAGGGTGGTGCTGGGACTCAGACCCCCACCAGAAGGAAGCATGGAGCCCGCCGTATTCAGAGTAAGGTTACCCTGGCCCGAACCAGCACCAGATGACACAGAGACCCCGCCCCCGCAGCTCACTACCGGACCCACCTGGTAGCCACTCTCCTTGGCCAGCTGCTGCTCAAACGATGTGTCTTCTATCTTGATATTCTTTACCATAGCTGAGCTGAAGGTGTAGCCGTTGTCCGACATGGCGGGGGAGCGCTGCATACTGCCGTTGCAACTGCTGCCACCGGAGGAAGATGAGGTTGAGGAAGAGTTGCCCTCTGTCTTCATTGCACTGCCTCCATAGGTCTGGCCCTGTTTGGGGTTGTTCAGGAAGCAGTCGGGGTCAAAGTTCATATTGGTCTCTGGGATCTTAATGCTTCCAGCATCCAGACTGCTGGAGAGCACCAGCTCCTCAGAGACCCCCGCTGAAGACATCATGGACAGACTGTCTCCCGCCGCGTTAGTCCCAGGCTCTCCCACTCCTCCACCGGGGAAGGCAAATTTGTGACGATCAGAGGCCACAGACAGCACCATGCCCTGTGAGGTGGCATCTGCACCCATCAGGTGAGTGTTGGGACCCCCAGTAGGAGACATGCTGTAAACAGGGTCTCCAGTCACCTCAGACATGAAGACGCTCTGAGACAAGCCAGACATGACGGAGGCCACGTGGCTCATCCCTGTCACCACGGGGCTGTCGGCCATGTCCGGATCGCTGTTGAGGCCGCTGCTGATGGACACGGGGGAGTTCTGCGTGGTGTCAGGGACCTCCACCTGGTTGGTGGACGACACCTCGGTGCTGTTCTGGTGCAGCAGGATGGGCTTGTGGACTTTGCCGTTGCGTTTCTCCCTGGCACTGCCCCCCCCTCCGCCTCCACCGGAGCTTTTGCCTCCGCCGTGGGCGCTGTGCTCCGTCTTCCCCTCCGACACATCGTTGTTCTGGACTTCAGAGTGAGCACTGCTGTAGCCTCCTGAGCGAGGGTCCACCTTCGGGGAGATGATGCGATGTTTGGCGCTGTTGCATTTGTGGTGCACACTGCTCCCTGCACCTATACGAGGACAAACAGAGAAAAAGAGGTTGGCTATTTGGATGAGGTGGGCACAAAATACATCCACTGAACTATTGCTATTCAAATAACTAAAAAAAGGAAAGTGCTACTGTGCAAGGAGGACACAAGTATGGATGATATATTTCATTTTGTCAGAAAGGTTTTCTTTGAATGATTAAAATAGCCTTTCTTTTAGGTAAACAGTGAGTCAAATGTAAGGGGGGTTTTGCTGCAGCTAGGGGTATACAACATGATTGGTTTTAGTCATTAATAAACTGCTGATCTACATTATGTTCCTGAATGACAGCCCAAAATCAAATTAGACAGCTGAAAATATTTGAATGATTAGCAGAAACATCCGGGAACAGCTGGGCTCTTTCTTTCAGATATGGTCCGGACACGGTTATTAATAAACAAAAGAAATAAGCAAATTACCAAGAAACTAATAATTCACTATAAACCGCCTACCATTAAAATACTAAACCACCTCCTCTGATCTACAATAAAACAAACTGCAAATCTAATGGCCTTTTTTAAGCTCTCTCATGAGAACAAACCCCCTCCCACCCACGCGCCCTTACCCAGGGTGCCCGTGCAGAGGCAGTTGTGAGTCCGGGGAGGTGGCTTAGTTTGGTGGCTGTCCAGAATCTGTTGCACTAGCTGCTCCACTGAGAAGCCAGAGCTGCTGTTCCCATTGCTGCAAGTCCACTTGATGCCATGAACTGCCGGGAGAGAGGAGGAGACAGAGACGTCAGCCAGCCCAACAGACCACCAGCCACGCCAAACCCCCGCCCCACCCACTGCCCCCCCCTGTCTATCGGGCCAGTAGACCAGTAGCATCATGCTGCTCACTGGTCCCCTCACAAAATCGTCAAAGTTACCTTGATGGAGAGGAACGAATACTTCCGCTCCCTCATGAAGAGAAACAAACCACTGCATGGCCTTGGTGTGTTCACTCGGTCACTTCAGTTTTAATATAGTAGTTTCAAAAATGTGAGAGGCACTACCTTTGGTTCTGATTGTACTACATACCACTCCATCCTTTTCATTAATATTGCAATATACCTACCTACAATAACTTTTACATATCTTTTCTGTTGCATTAGGCCAGTTGCTTTTCTCCCTGTGCACTTTCTGTACTGCACTGCTCCCTCTCGTGTGTTCATGTCCCCTGCTCCCCTCTGTGAGTGCTCATGAAGGTGACAGCAACCACAATCTTTCCTCTCTCACCCCGACCTATGACCCTAAGCCTCTGGGGAGTAATGTCATCTAGCCTCTGCTAATGCTGCTGCACCAAGCCAAAAAAAGAGAGCTGTTCTCATGTAAAGCTCCACTCCCTGCCTCAGTCACACGTCCCTAGCAACTGCTACTGCTTTTCATCGCTCTGTTTGCCAAGCAGCCACAACCTTTGATGAGACAGATAGTGGTTTCAGTGGTTGAAAGGGTGTAGGAGACACCAATGAGAGCTGCAACGCTCAGGCTCTCAGCCAGGGAACAAAAGGTCATATTTGAGAAGCAAAGCATATTTAGATTGTCAAACAAAATCAAGCTAGTTTTAATTCAAGGTCTCTTCACTTCAGCAGCTGCTGTGGCTAAATATGCAAGAGAGAGATGTATAAGGAGAGTCAGGTTTAGAAAACAGCAAGAATTTGTTAAGTGCCTGTCTGTTTTCTTATGCGATACAAGGAGTTGGAAACATTGTAAGAGGGTGAGCATAATGCAGATTGAAGACAAAGCTAGTCAAGGCGAGTGAAAAAAAGAGACTGGGAACACTTGATTGGATGACTGTGATAGGGATCTAAGCTTTGAGATCCTTTGGCAGATTACAGGCTGGTCACTAGCAGATGTCAGCAGAACGTCTGTGATCAAGCTGAGATCAAACACTCCTCAGACGACTCTCTGTGGCAGGTTACAGGAACATTAACAGGATTCATTTTTGATCTTTTCTACAGTCAGATTTGTGCAGACATTATCTAGAGTGGGTGAGCTGAAAAAAAGACGGGACACCAAGAGTGACAGGAGAGTTTCATCTAATGTCACTGCAATTACTGCACAAATAGTTGTGTCTGTCTGGAGCTCCCATTAGACAGTGTGGCTTGACACACTCTTTAACTTGTGACAGCGCTTATGCAAACAGTACAAATTAGATGCTGCGAGTAATACTGACAAAGAGATGAAAGGGACACAGGAAAACTCAGAATGCTGTCATGAATCTCCCTCTGTGACAAAGCCAGTAGGGAGGCTGCAGGACAGAGGAGCATCCGTTCTGCTGATGTGACGCAGAGAGGGTGACAGAGCAAGAGTGAGAGCCTAATACAACAGCTTACATCCACCATGTACTGCCATCCCTATTTGTCCAAACAATCTCGTCTCCCCTCCACCCTGATCCCTCATGCCAGGATCGCCTCAGCTCTCGAGACGAGCGTCACCCCGGTGGCTGTGGGTTGTTGACGTACAGTTACCACCGTGTCTGCCTGTCTGCTCTTCTCACTGAGGGTTATGTTCCAAAGCAGACATGACAGGAGCAGTGCCACAAGGTTTAATCCCAGTGGCAGCGGCAGCAGAGGTACCAAACATCAACCGAGTCACATCATCATCCTGATGACTGCATCCTGTCGCGAGCAGTATCACACAGCCCTAATGATACAACACAGTTGATCTGTAGGACATGTACATATCCCATCTGATTGTATCTGCACCATTGGGCACTATATGGGACAGGGGAGTACAATAGTTTACATGATGGCTAGCCCTGTCTGTCTGGCCTTGGTCTGTTCCTCTCTGGCCCTGTGTGTGTCTTGCCTGGAGACAGGCCCTCTGTCTGTCTGAGTGTTTGTTAAAGCCGCTCAAGCGCTATCTGTCAGCAGGCTAGGGGCATAGCTGCGGAGAGTGCTGCGTGTTTATAGCATTAGACCAAAAGAGTGAATCAAGCTGGCTGCCTTGTCTATGGTGTTGTAGCGTGACTGAGTAGTGATGCCACTCTCTCACCCCCCCCCCTCTTCACTCCCTGACTCCTTCCTTTTCTCATCAAACGCCACAGGGAGTTCAGGAGCCAGAGGTCAGACAAGGCCATGTTCCACAGGGCTTATATTTGCACTTCCGCATGCGAGCATCCGTGCATGTGAAAGTTTTTGCGACTGAGAGCACGTGTGTGAGTTTTTTGAGACAGAATAAGCTCAACTGATCCATGAAATCCACATTTTTCCTTTGTTGTCTTTGTGTATCATTAGAGGTGTCAAATGGTTAGTGCACTAGAGTATGGTGCAGAGAATATCAAAAGAAAAGAGCAAGACGGAATAGGGCAATTATATCGCAAAAGTTGACAATGCTCTAGAAAAATAACTATTTGACATTAAATGAAGGGTCCCTGTGCTGACAAAAATCAGTTTTTGAAATAAAAAACACTCAATATTATATTAGAAGAAATGCCTTCCATACAGCCACACATACTGTGGCAAACATACTGTACTGTACACTCCTGCAATCTTGCGTTGTGTACTAAATATTCAAACTACAGAGTTTGATGGATTTGCACATTCCTGATTAAGGGTTTTGCTAGTTCATATATACATCTGCTGAGTCATTAAGGACATTCTGCTGTGTACAAAAAGAATATTCCCAGCAGTGCATACTTATTATAAAATTCCTGTGCAATACAAAAAACCCTATCTACTAATAAATGCAAATGCGATTTCAAGATATAGGTCAGTCTGGGAAAAAAATGCACTGTATGTTAAGAGCTAATGTATTATTTAAGATTAAATAATGCATGGATAATACAGCATGACCTCATCACAAGACTTTGCTCCTTACGATGAGGTGTGGGGTTGCTATGATACAGGACCACTAGATGGCAATGTTGCTCCATCCCTGAGCTAGTGTTGACATGCTGGCTGTTGCAGGAGAAAGTGAAGGGGATAGAGGGGAGAAGGAAGACAGAAAGCAAAGACAGAAAGCAGAAGAAGGTTTTTTTGCTCTTTATGTAGCCCCCTCATGTCGCCTGGTAGCTAGAAGGCATCTCACACTCCCCCTCTTTGTCCCAACAACTCCCAAAGTTAATGACTTTACGCATTACCGCAAATGGTGCTTGGTTTTTACATTAAGCCACAGATCTAATGAATACAGTAGGCCGTTGTTGTTCAGTGGCTGTCCTGAGGTAAGGCTTTATGTTAAAATATGTCCTAAAACTGATAGCAAGCAGAGCAGTGAGGGGGATAACAATATAGCCAAGACATCAATGATGATGTTCTGGACTGACTCGTCTGTATGCTGCCAGCATGCGTGTGTGCTTCTAAAGCTGCTGACACGTTCCTCTTTACCTGGCCACATTTCCAATAATTGGCCATTGGGATATCAGTCACAGCCCTGCTGGCCCCTGCCAGACACGCCCGGATCACAGTGTGGTTGTTAAAGGCATCTTAACAGCTGCCTGAAAGATTTTCAATACCTCACAAGGTCCCCATTTGGCTATTATCATCATCAGACAAACACTGATTTTTTCCAAAACATTGCCTCAATCTTTGGGCAGATCTAGAGACTCATAAAAACACATAGTGCGCCTCACAGAGCATTAGTAAAGCTGATAACAATTCAATGTAGGGGGGAGACGAAGGGGGGAGACGAAGGGGGGAGACGAAGGGGGGAATTTCTGGTGAGTCAGACATTCTTGCTCCCACGCACTAGCATGAATCAATAACCAGCTTGCTGCCCTCCTCTGCCTCGACTTCCTTCCTGGGCAAGAGAGGAAGCACACTCTCAGCTCGGTCAGAGTGGTGCCAGAGGTCTAGGGGAAGAGCTGAACTCTGACCCGTTACTAGCAGACGGGAAGAGCACACACTCATATTACAGTGCAGGAACACTGGCATAAGATGTGCTCTGACTGAGGTGCTGAGGGCACTTAGTGTACCAGCTTTCAGCAAATTGGACTTGACATAACATCCTCAGACAGACAACAACCACTATGTTTACTCTTCCCACGCATGTAGACATATTAATACCATTAAGGCCTTTTTAGAGGAGACAGCAACTGTTTATATTATAGGATATGAATAAAAGTTTAGACTGGGGCGACCATAATTGATTAATGGGATGTTTCAAATACTCACACATGGGCTTTAGCTGGCCGATCAGCTCCTCCTTCGTCCATTTGGCCCACTCCTTCTTGTCTGTATTGATGGAGCACAGGATCGGACCACATGGTTTCCCACAATCCTCAATGGCTGGAACATTCAAATAGTGGACGAGCACGATATCAGGGTTCTGTTGGGATCACACAGAGAGGGAGGATGGTTAGATGAGATTGCTTTATGGACAGTCGGTATAAGAGCATGGCTTCTTGAAGATATAAATGGAGTTTTAGTGACACATTGATACTGTGGATCAGCTGTGAGGGCTTTTATTTGGAACAAGCCAGCTGGTTGATGAGAAATTAAATGTTGCTGAACTATGAGCACTGGATAGTAAGACTCAGGCCCAAGAACAGAGGAGTAAACGCACAACACGAATCACAAGCAGGGACCAGAACAAATCTGGGATCAGAACTCAGCAATAATCTCCCTCATTATGTCACTATCTGTATCGCCAAATGTGTGTGCCCTTGGACGTGTACCATAGTGTGTGTCAGCTTGTGTGTACGTGCATGTGTGTGATCATTACAACGTGTGCTTGTGTAACACACTTATGGCATTTTGTCAAGTCCTCCCACATGGTGAGTTGATGCCCTCAATTAACTCTGCCTGTATTTACCAAGTCAGAACTCAACCATTTGCAGGCTGCAAATTGTTACTGGGTTACCTCGGCAAATTCCCTAAATTGACAGCTTATGAATAATAGGTAGCATTTAAAGGAATGTTGTGCCCGTGTGAATAACATCAATTCGCTGGTGTTATCATGAAAAGCTTTGATTACCGAGCATGGCAAAGACTCACACAGGGAATGTTCCCATTCCAGTCCTTATCGCCTCCAATTTATTATAAACATCCGGGTGTCACTAAGCCCACAAGAACCTAACAAACAAATACAGAACAATATTCCTACACTGACACATAGAATATAAATAAAAGCTGCCCTGATTACAACTGACCGCTATGCAGGCAAAAATAAGCTGATGTACAGAAATAAGACGGTAGGAATAGGCAAAGCAACAAAGACCTTGATAGAGAAAAATGCCGTGACAACATGTGTGTGTGACTGCAGTTTGAAGCTTCATCAGTACTAAGTGGCAAATAAATCAGGGTGCTGCTACTGTAGGTCTGTGCTCCCTCTCAGTGTGTACCATTAATCTACAGCTTCATCCCCCTCTCCCTCTCTTCCCTTTCACCAGACAGGGGTGTGGTTTCGGGGCAAGCATATCCAAAGAAACCGTCTTTTTAAAACATCCCAGACGTACCATCTCAATGTGTTCGGGCAGACACAGCTCCAGTAGTGGAACAGGAGGAAAGAATATGTAAAACAGTCTCTGGATGACAGGTGACCTCCCTGCAACCCTTCACCACGAGCGGAGCTGGACTCTACACTGTGTTATCTCACTGCTTTCCTTGTCCCCTGTCATTGGTATGGACACAAGGCGACGACTGCTGCCCTGTTTGGATGGAGATGGCACAGGGAGCGTGTGATGCTCCCAGATGGCATCACCAGCTGTGTCAATAGCTAAGAGATGCCCTCAATCTTTTCTTGGAATGAGAGTGCCAAATGTGGACAGCTTCATTCAATTATGATCATGCATAAACGTATGTGGATGTATGGGAATGCAGGCGGGAGAGGAATATTCATAGACACACGTGATTGTGAGCAGGCACACACACACACAGCCTGAGCCAGGACACACTGATTAGCATACCATCACACACATATATACTCACAGGAAATACAAGGGGTAGCTTTACACAATCATACACGTGGATACATTTCCTTCTTCCAACACCCACACTCACAGCTGTTTCCTGCCTTCTCACACATAGCCACAACAATGTGCACACACACACAATACAACACAAAGGAAGAGACATGTGGCAGCCTTAAAGCTCACCCAAACACACGTAATCTGTGTGGCTGGGCTTTACTATTAGAGAATCTGCGATTTGTCTGTCTGGAACTTTCTCTCTCTTTCCCCAATCTTGTTCCTGCTTCTTCCTCTTCCTACTTTACAACAGATTGAACAGTTCTCTCCCAACTTGAGTCCACTTCCACTCCGAGAGGAAAACAACACAATGAAAATGTAAAGCATCACATAAATCTATCAGGATGGTAATTTAATTTAGTTTCCTGCTGGCTGCTTTCTTTTTCCACAGTGTAATATCAGGATTTGATTCTCCTGGAGCAGAGGGAAAACGGCTGAGGGGGAACTTTTACGCCTGGATTCTATTTTCCAGAGAAAATGAGATCTCATTAACTTATTGATTAATTGTGTAATGTAGTCTTTTGGTTGTGTTTCCCAAGCGGGTCTCAGGGCAGCTATCCAACCTCATTTCCGCAGAGGAAGGGGAGACTGGGATACAGTCGCAGGAGCCTGTGGTGTGCATGAAGGTGAGGATATGGAGATGTTTGCATCACCACATATATGTGATGGTTATGACACCTATGTGAGTATGTGAGATCAAGCCTATAAATACATGTTGGCCATTATCTGTAGACATGTTTGCCAACAATTCCCATAATAGCCTCCTCATAGCATGAACGCATCATGTATATGTAAAATATAGCATGTCTCCAGCCAGCATTTTGATGTTACTGTGTTGTGTTAATGTTTACTGCACCTCCCTTGAACAGATGGATAGATGTTGAGCTAATTACTAGCAGAGTCTTGGGGAGTCAGCCATGGGGGCGGAAGGCCTGCTGAGTGGGTGGTGGAGCGCCTTCCTACCCCTCCTTTCACTACTCTCTTTCTCAAATCCCACACAAGTGCCTCAACATACAAAGGCAGGCATGCACATAAAGGAGAAAACACGGTCATGAATGCATTCACAGTCAATACACAGTTCAAGATGGAAAAACGTGAAAAAGTTGGTGTGCCAACAACACACACTTTTGCACACGCTTATGCGATATGCAGGACATCGCCATCGCAACCGGAGGATAAAGGTGCTGTTGTAGCCAGGCAACAGGTTTCTCTGGCACCCACGCACATAGAGGCAGCCAGTGCTCCTACGATCTCTCAGTGACTGCCTACCTCGTCCTTAAGTCATACAACCTGTTATACTCCCAAAGACGAGGAGGGAAAGACAAAGCAAGAGATTGGCTAATGGAGCTGAAGACACAGACGGAGTTAGATGTCGTTGCAGACAGATGACCTTCTACAATGACCTTCTACTTTCTGCTGAATGTGAGGTAGTATATGTGTATGCTGAGCTGCACCTGAGATATAACTAAGTTGAGTACAAGGCACATCTATGGGTCTAAACTCAGTGGTAAAGTAATGAGTGTCGGGTTAGGTTTATTTGACCCCGCCACTCTCTTGGAACACCTCCATGTAGCCACTACTCCAACACCCCACTATAGCTCATTAAGAGACTGGGTTGGAGACAGAGATACATGGAAATACAGAGACAGAGACAGAAAGAAGAATGGGAGTAACATCTCTTATACTGTCAGGCAGGGAGCTCTGCTCTGTGGTTGTACTCTACTATACTAGGCCTCGCTTTCACAACCCGTGCACAGGAGCGATAAGAACACCATTAACATGAAAGAATCTTAATTGAGAGGGGATGCTTCATGCAACGTGGATGAGCCTGGGAGTGCAGGAGGAAACCTTGTTCCTCTCTGATAAAATAACCCACACCCAGGAACGGGGGCTTCAAAGCCTGTCATAGGAAAGAGCAGAGCAGAGAGGGGCTCAGGTATGGGAAAGCCCCCCTTTTCCACTTTTACTCTGAGGGAGGAATGGGGGAAATAAGCAAAAGGCATGAGGCACTTCTTTATGGGAGAACTGAACTAGCAGGCAACAGGGATATCCATTTCAAAGCAAAATATCATAGAAAAACAGGAACAGTCAATTGTTTTGTCACAAACATTCAGCATCAAGGCGTAAATACAGAGGGGAGGTGCTTGTGTTGGTGTATTTGTTTTTGTGGATGTTTCTGTGCCTTTATGTATCCGCGCCTGCCTACATTAAATTATAAATAGCGAGTGAATGAGTGTCTAGAGGCAGATATCCGTATGTTAGTTTGGGGTACGCACATCAGTATGCATGCAGAATGAGTGCAATGAGCTGTGAGTGAGTGGATCTGCTACTTTGACTGCATATTCATGCCGTCTGTGCCTGCAACTCATATTATAATATGCGGTGTGGATCTTCGCATATGTCTTTGCAGTTCCCTGTACATAAGGAACACCTGTGTAATATAAGTTTGTGTTTTATGTCCCGTGCTGTGGTCCACTGAACGGGTACGAGGGGTTATTAAAGCTCCGCTCTCTCAGCTGTGCGGGGGCAGGTGCCCTGGCAGTGGCATAGTGATGGATGGCATTGGGTGCCAGTCATTAGGCAGCCTCGTGGCCTCTGGCACTGAGGTTACACTCTTAAACACCGACCTCCCCCGCCTGTCCCCAAACACCACCGCTCATTTCAAGGTCAACTGCCTCTGTGGAGCTGTAGGTTCACCTCCACAAGGCACGAGACCTCTTGCTTTTGTTTGGAACCTTTATCACTCACTGCCAACGGGTGTGTTTTGGAATATGGGGGTGGGCGGCCTCGTGCAGACACAGCCTCGCAAACACACGCATGCAGAACATGAGGCAACACAAATGCAGCACATACAAACACACACACACACACACACACCAAGGTAAACAAAACCCCGCCTCAAATCTTCCCGAAAAGGCAGCAAACAGCCTGAAGCTCCTGTCTAGGTAGAAGAGCAATCCCCTAATCTCAACGTGCCTCCCCCTCCTCCTCTCTCTCCCTCTCTCTCTGTGGGCCCTCTATGACAAACTTGTTGTTAAAATGTTCCAATTTTAGAATACAGACAACCTAATTAGGGTGTCTGAAGTCAACGCTCAACTTAACTGCTACAGTTCACCCTCTACTGCATCCAGCTCCCCAACAATCACAACACTGTCTGACGTCCAAGCTAAAACGATGCCCGGGGTGCGTACCAATCCAGGGGTAAGCTCCAGTTAACGGAGGATTTCTTAATGTGAAATACCTCGATTCACCTCGTCCGAAGCGTATAGCAGGGATGGCAGAGTAATGCCCAGCAGGAGATCCTGATTTAGGGAAGATTCATACTCCACCTCTTACCTCCACTACCTAGTGTACTGGCTGA